GGGGTGGGGACTCATGGCTGGTGTGTTTGGGAATCTATGGAGAGAACCTCCCTCCTCACACTCTACTGCCTTAGGGACCCCAAGACTAACATTACCTGTCTTGCTCCTGGATATTCTGGGGGCCATAGTCAGCTGTGGCCTATGTATTTAACCCCATGCAACCAAAGTGAAGTAAGACGGAAGACGGGATGTTTGAGGGCTTCTGCACGAGGCTGGGTGTTCTGGGGGGAGCTGCTTCGTGTTTCAGGCGGGGAGGGGGGTAGGGCCGCTCCTCTGACAAAGCACAAGTGTTCCCATGTTCCCGTGGGCTTCAGCATAAAGGGAGGGAGTGCAAAGAGTTAAGTTTCCTAGCTAGGGATGGCTCGGTCACATGACAACCAACACGAACTCTGGAGGCTGGCTATCGTGCTCACTAGCTGACACCTTTCTAGAATGATTTGAGTCAGAAGAAGCTCATTCTTTCTGTTTGACTGATGGCTGGGGTGATTTAAAAGATAGAGGTTCTCTGCCTAGACCTGTTTTAGTCACACCTTACATCCATATACAAGCTCTAAACCCAGGAACACAGAAACGCAGCTCCATGCTTCATGCTCTTTGGAAGGAGGGGTTGGTAACATGTTTCAAAACCGCAAACAATCATTTAAGACCTTTCTGGAACCCTCAGTAAGGCTGAGTATAACTAACACAGAGAGCTCGGCTCAGAGTGAGCAAAGAAGAGGGAGTTTATCTTCCTAGCAGGCGGCACGTCGATGTAAAATAAGTGGGGAAGAATAATCAAAGATCTTCAGATGATGAGTTTGGCTCATTTATGTGGGCTGTGCTATTTACACTGGAAAACAAACAAACAATCAAAAAACAGTATGGCAGAGCAAATTGACAAACTGCACCAAAGTAACCACTCAAAAATTACATGAATCACGGCGTGTGTAGGATTCGCTGCTTACTTAAAAGCAGATGCTGTTGAAGAAGGATGCTGCTAAGTGCGCTCAGCACTGGGGGAGCTTCTGGAGAGGCAGCTGCCTTCTGGCACCAGAGGAATGGCACCCCCATGGTGCCATGCCCTGAGGGCCAAGTCTCTGTCCTCGAACCCCCTTATCCTCCTTGAGACTTGGCTGACTTAAGACCTGGTTGGCCTGGTGACCCGACAGATGGGACCAATATGGGGAGGGGCTGGGGCAGAGCCAGCCAGTGTCCAGGGATGGGGCAAGCACATCACCAGGGCAGCAGCCCTCATCCTGCCCCTGCCCCTCTGCTTCCACTCTTGCTGGAATGGCTGAGGAATTTGGTGGAGAACCAGGCATTGTAACAACTGCCATGTCTTATCCTCAGCGCTGCGCTGCACTGCATGTTTATCCAAGAGCTAAGGCTGAGGCCTTCTTGCTCCATCCCACACCAGACCATCCTCAGGCAGCAAGTGGCAATTTCCCACAAGGTGACGGGTGGCAGGAGGAGGAGAGGCAGACAACCCTTCCTCTCTTTCTTCCCCCTCAGTCCCCCCACTCTCTCCCTTCCCCTCCCTCCTTCTCTGCCCCGACCCCATCACTCTGCTTTTTCTCCCTACTGCTTTTTCTCTCTGGGAATTATTTTTGTTTGCCTTCACATTAACCATCTGCTTCCTCCCGCTGTAGAACGTGAAACCCACAAGGGCATAACTGTGCCCACCTTGCCTCCGACTGCATTGCCAGTGTGGTAGAAGTTGAACAAATAATTTTGTTGAATTAGAGGATGACTGACTGATCTGTGCATTACGGTGATCCAGAACGGGCTGTTTCTCTCCCATGGCGTATGTAAGTCGTGTTTTAAAGAACTCACATACTGAAACAAGAATGGCGCGTCTTGGCATCTTTTCCCACTGTGACTTAAGAAATGGCTCTGTGACGGGCAGGTGGAGGGGAGGAGACAGCCAGGTGAAGCATCCAATTTCACGTATGCCCTGACGAAAGAGACTACCTTGACGAAAGAGGGTGACGGTGTCAACAGATGGACAAAAGAATGTGTGTTCCGGTGCCATCTTGAAATAAGTATGTGAAGGCCCAGCCTGACCATGAAAAGGCTGAGTGAGAGTCCCGGCCTCACCCCTGGTTCCTGGTCTTGTCTTTCAAGATATGGGGTCAGCCCAGCTTCCTGAGCTACAGACAGTCCTGGACCACCTGGGCAGAAGAGCGAAAGGGTAAGATACCTCTCCATGGGCAACAGGGCCAAAATGGAGACCATCCAAGGTGGCAGGGTTGATCCTTTCGTGCGTTCACCTTTTAATACGGCCTACACGTTAGGCACCACACACACAATTCTGAAGACAAAACCCTTAAGCATGGCTTCTCCTGATGCTAAACTATGGCTGTGGAAGTGTCATGTATTTTTGAAAGAAAGGACTGATTGAAGATGCTAAGATCACATCAGTAATAAGGGGTTTCCTGGTGTCCCAATTCAAAGAATGGGTGGGGCTGCTGATGAGTCCAGGTTTCTAGTTTCATGAAGCTCCAGGAAGGACTGGAGTGAATATGTGGGAGCTGAATATGATATGGGAAGTCCACGCAAGTCCAAGACTGGGAAGGACTAGAAATAGTACAGAGAACAGAAGGTCCCCTAAGTGGCCTCTGCCTTCGGTATGCAGGGAGGGCAGTAACTAGGAACACTGACAGCCCCCTCCACACTCCCTAGGCTGTCACTACGCCTCCACGTGGCATGAGAAGGCTTGGCTTTGTCTTGGTCGTGGCCAGAATCTGAGCCCAGTGGGAAACGGCATGGAAGCCCCCGACCATGCCCAGAGAACCCTGTATTTCTCACGCCAAACTCGGAAACCAGAGCAATTACACGCATCTTCCAATCAGGCAAAAGTGACCTCAAGCTCGTGAAGATTCGGAGCGACTTTGTCTAGAAATGTACTTGACTGTATGACAAGGAGCGGATTCCCAGCTGTTTCTAAAGCTTCAAAGGCAAATGCCAGGTGCCAGGAGGCTGCCAGGGGGTTTGCAATTGTGGGATCTCTGAGACTCCGTGAGTAGTAAGATGGAAGTGGACAAATACCGGGGAACTTTAACAAACCACATCGCCCTTCCTTGAAGTTCTTTCCTTTAGACATGAAAACTCGAGCAGAGGTAAGGACCAGGCCTTGGGTGAGGGAAGGGAAGTGTCTGCTATTATACTTTGAATTCCAGGGGTCAAGCAGAGAAAAGAGGACACCAACCGGACTGAAGCACTACCCCAAGGCTGCAGAAGGACTGATGGGGCCAGCTCAGCAGCCACCGACACACCAAGTATGTGGGCATGACGTATACATACGGCCCAAAGCAGGCAAGTCCTATGCTCCGGTGCAGACTTCACTGTGGTTGGTGCTGTGTTTCCTGGGTCCACTTACTTTCAGTCATTATCTCCTCTTATCTAGACGATGATCCCAGTTGAAGGGTTTGGGAGAGCAGATAACCATTTTAAAAAGTAAAATAATACGTCTTTACATACATTCGGGCACAGCAGCCTTTGCCTGCGTGGATTTATTTTGATGGATGTCATGTCGGTGCAGAAGCAGACTTTTGGGTGTGGAATGTGCATGCATCTGCTTGTCTGGTGGTTGTGCCTGTGTGGGTCTCACAGCCCTGCCTTGAGTCTGCGCCTCTGGTGTGGGACAAGGGGGTTGCTGCTTTACGTTTCCTTCCAAGGCTCCATGTCTTATGGACCCAGGAAAGAGTTAAGGGCACCCAGGGTGCAGCCTGCGGTCGGGGAAGGGGGCTGAGCTGCAGGGAGATGACAGAGCAGATACCAGGAGTCCCTCGGGAATCCTGGGTTCTCATGGTTAGTGAACCAACGGGGCCCCCTGCCTTCACCTCCTCTTCGGTTGGGCTCACTCCTGAGCTCAGAACATCAAAGACCAAAGCAGCAGCCCCCACTGCCTGCCAGACAAAGCAGACCACCGCGCACTCACACCCCCTGTGCTCACCTGGAGTCAGGAGGAGGGAGTGGCTGGAGAAGCATGGGGTGGACGAGGCCGGATGACACACACGGAGAGGGCTGCAGGCTGGAGCGCCGTGCAGGTGAGTGCCGGGAGCCCGGAGACGGCCAGATGTCAGTGGTGGATGTTTGCACTGCCTCGGTATGTGCCAAAGCTTGGGGGAAAACAACAGGACAGAGACTAAAGAACAACTTTTCCTAATTCGTGAGCAATACCACAGATACAGACCTCACAAAAACAATGCTTTCCCCTCCAGAGGCTTTACTCTAGGCTCTCATGTTTCAGGAGATATAAAAATGAACTTTTCAAGCACGTTTCAAGGTGTTTTAGAGGGAGACTGAGCCCAAGGGAAGAATCAGGTCATCAACCCGGCCAGTGAGGAGAGGGAGGTCAGCCGTCTGCGTGGTCTTTCACCTTTTCACCTGGCCTGCGACATTTCACTGCATTGGCTCATGCACTCTACCGCTGAGATCAAGGTTGCACGTGCGCTGTGCGTGCGAAATAAAGTCTTTGGAGACAGGGACCTACACCACCTTAGGCGTCTTCCATAGACAGGAACCGTCCTCTAAGGAGGCCCAGCGCGGCCATGAGATGCCCCCTACATCCCTACAGCACCCCCTGTTGGCAGCAAGTCTGGGACACTAGTGAGCACGTTTCAGATGAGGCTTAGGAGGGGGGCCCTGAGGCATGGCAGTATTTTTTATAAACTGTGTGGCTGGGATTCTCTGTACTGAGGCCCCTGTTCCCACTGGGAAGCTCTACAGTAGGACTCTCCATGACAAAAGAGAAACATCCGTCGGCCACTGGAAGCTGATGGGAGAACACCCTCATTGCTAAGGCTTCCCCCAAGATTCCAAGTCACCCATGGGCCCTAGACAAAGCGAGCGACACCTGCCCACCTGCACCAAGGAAGGTAACGCAGCGCCGGCTGGGGCGGAGCCAGGGTGGGGCAGCCTGCGTGGTCTGCACACAGAATGGCTACTTTTCGTTTTCACACGAACTGGGGCCCTTCACGTACATCTAAGTTCTGCCCTGACATCACACACACGCGTCGTAAGGATATACTCCTTTAATTTTTGGAACTGGAAAAGGTCTTTAATCCAGTCTATGCTTGACACACACATCCAAGAATCCACCACCCACCCAGCCCGAGCCTCAGGCCCGTTTGTAAGCAACCAGCCACGTCAGTGTGCGCGTGGCTGTTAGGTAGCATCTTCCAACATTTAAATGAAAAAAATCATATTTACGCATATGTATATATATATATATACACAAACATATATATATATACATATATAAAACCATGGCATTCTTCGTTCTAGCCCAAGATCGTAAGTCACACATTTGATGCCACTCACCGGATGTCTAGCAAAGGCAGGAGGTGTCATCTAAGCGCCTCCTCGTCTGGGTCAACGCTGTCCCCTCCCTGGGTGAACGGTGATGGAATACCAGGTCACCAGAAAGAATATGCTCACCTGTGGAACTGCATTTCCAATAGATGTGAATATATGCATGTGTGTGTACTGTGTGTGTGCACACGTGTTTGTAATATGTGTGTGACGTGAGCTGTCAAAGTAGAAAACACTGGTTTATTCTGTTCATACTAAGCATGTTAAATAAATCAGATTTTGTAACCTATAACACAATTTTTTTAAAAAGAACATTTAAGATCTTCAAAAATTGCTACAGTACAAAAAAAGTGTGTGTTGTGTGTCTGTATTTATATATTTATATATGTATATTAACCAGAAATAGCGACTCTGTCGGAAGAGATTCCCACCCCTGTTTTCTGTAAGATTTCTCCGCGTGATTCGCTGGGCCCCGGCTCTTCGGCTGAGGCTTTCGGGTCAGTACATGGCACATAATGGTATAATTGGCACAGGTTCAGAATCGTAGGACCAATCCTAGGCTTCGGATGCTTCCTCCCGGCCCTTTTGCTGGGTGTCCTCGTCTCTCTGCCTCCGGTTCCTTTCCTGCATTGCTTCTTTCTGTTCTCCAAAGAAAACTCTGGGAGAAGGCAGTCACCCATAGGCATGAGCACTTTTACAAAAATAGATTTGGCCTAGAGCGTCCTGCTCTGTGAGTTTCCCACCGGCAAACAGAAGTGGTAGGTGCGGGGACCCTCCGCCTTAGAAAGCTTAGTTTTAGGTTTTGTCTTTTTTTGTTTTGTTTTGTTTGTTTTGTTTTTACAGGTTCACCAACGGAATCCTGTGTGGAGAGAAAACAAGAGGAGATTAAATGGCAGCGGCCCGGGATCGCAGGGGCCCCCACACGCGGCACCCCTGTGTGCAGAGCCCGATCTCTGCCCTCGTGGGTTCACAGACACAGAGAGTCCTTGGAATGTGGACAGGCCCCACTAGAACTGGGCAGCAGGAACTGCAAGAAACACTGGGAGTCCTGCAGCATGAATTGGGGGCCTCAAGCTTGTGTGAATTCTGGTCATCTGCAGAGCTCTGAACCTGCTACCAGGGGCTGGGACCACCCCCTCCACTACCTCATGGTGGGGGCGCCGGGGCGGGGCATCGGGTCCCAGGTGTGCACATCAGGGCCTGAGTGTGGCAGCCCAGCGTTCCCTCCCTGTCTGTGGGTGGTGGCATGCGGCCAGCTCCCACCTGTGCTGCAGGAAGACGGGGCACCTGTTTCCCATCACTGCTCAGCTGCAGGCTCCCTGTGGCCAGGGCTCAGGAGAGATAAATGGACCATATCAGAAAATCCACTTCCCGCATCTCCCCAGAGGTGAGCTTGCTGAAGACAGAGAAGGTGAGTCCCACCTGTGCACAGGTCAGGTAGGCTGACTGTGATTGCTGCCTTCAGCAGGTGGACTGAGAAGGGGCGGAGCCTACCCAGCCAGCCCAAGCCTCAGAAAATGGGAAAGGCAGTGTCCCTGGCTTAGTGAGAGCCCCCAGTAGGTCACCATCCCTCAGGGAGTCCTCCTGGGCCTGGCCAGGTGAGCTGGAACACGTCATGGCCCCACCCGGGGACCCTCTGCTCAAAGCTGCGTCCCTGTCACGGGGATAGGGTGCTGTCTGGGTCCCTCTGCTGTCACTCAGAGCTCCTCTCAACTACAGGCAACTAGGACTGTCAACAGTAGAAAGGAAATGCCACCACGTCCTCATCTGTGCAGATGACATGTATTAGAAAGTGGCGGGATGGGGCGGGTGTTCACGCTCATCCCAAAATGAAGTCGGAAAAGCACTCAGTGGCAGCTCTATAATTTTTCCAGTACCTCCAGGCACGGCATGCTGCCAGGCTGGCTCCATCATAGCCATCGTTGGAGGCTTTCAGAAATGCAGATTCCCAGGCCCACCTCTGGAGACCTGGAATCAGGTTCTCGGGGTAGTGCCTGTGAACAAGGGATTCAGAGCTCCCCAGGTGAGTTTAGTGACTGCCGGTCCTGGGTCCATTCCCCGGTTCTTCTCAAAGACGAGGGTGTGGCTTTCTCTCTCCTGAATCAACTGAGCCCATCGCTGTGATTCTGGTTGGGACGGGGGAAGAGGGGCCCCAGGTGGGACACGCCTGCTGTTTGTCTGCAGGACACATCCCGGGAGTGGCCGGGGAGGCTGGCAGGCCATGGAACAGCTCCTCCTGTGCAGCACCGCGTCCCTGATTGTCTCCGGGAGCCTCAGTGTGCCAGATTCTACTCATCTGAAGGTGGGGGTGAGGGGCTGGTTCTTTCCCTGGACCCCTCTGTGTCTGGACAAGAGGCTGGGCCCCGAACGTCACCTTCCTGCCTGTGGCCTCCAAATGACACCAGTGTGGAAAACTCCATGAAGCTAAGTGAAGTGTCCGCTCAGCTCTGCGGGAAGACCAGCTGCTGTGGACACAAGGGGTCACTGCATGTAAAGAAAGGGGGTGTCCTGGCCAACATGGTAAAACCCCGTCTCTACTAAGAATACAAAAATTAGCCGGGTGTGGTGGCACATGCCTGTAGTCCCAGCTACTTGGGAGGCTGAGGCAGGAGAATCACTTGAACCCAAAAGGCGGAGGTTGCAGTGAGCCAAGATGGCATCGCTGCACTCCAGCCTTGGCAACAGATTACGGCTCTGTCTCAAAAAAATAAAAAAAATTAAAAAAAAAAAAAAGGAGGAGAACATGCTTTTGGTTCAGCGCTAGGTCACTCTTGGTAGCCTTACTCCAGCTGTGCCCCACCCCCACCCACCTCTTCCACATTCCCAGGATTTGGGGAAGAGGGGCCTAAAAAATGAATTAATTATTACAACACAGAGAGAAATATCCCTCTTATAGGTCCATCTTGCTATTGCTGTTGAAAGTTAAAAAATGTGGAGACAAATGCCGTGTGATTCTACTTATGCGAGGTACCAGACTCACTGAATTCACAGAGACACAGAGAAGAACGGGGGGCCAGGGCTGGGGTAGATGGGGGGTGAGTGTTCACTGGGTGTGGAGATGGAATACGGCGTGGTGGGAAGAGGTGAGGAGCTGGCTTGTGAAGACGCCTGCTCAGCACGGCGAAGTCACTCAGGCCTCTGAACTAGTGCATACAGGGTGAAATGGTCAATTGTATGGTACGTGGATTTACCACAGTTAAAACTTTTCTCAAAAGGGAGATAAAAATATTGGGGTCACTAGAGGCTGGGCGTGGACACCCTACACTGGGTCCTGGTGTCCCAGGACGGTCACTGGTGTAAGCTGCTGTCCCTGTGTTCCCTGATCGCTGACTATTCACAAGGCCACAACCTTTCTCTCTTGAATGTATTCGGGGTTGGACCATACGTGACATGGCTGCCACCTTAATTAGAATGGTTTCCTGCCGGAACCATGGCCCCGGCTGCTTTCCAATCCTTGATCCTGACCTTAAACAGGAGAGTAAAGGCCAGGGGAGCAGCTTCCACCCCTTGGGTGTCCGGCCACGCTCTGGAGGTGTTCCCAGGTAGACACTACCCTGCCGCTTTCCCATGTGAAGGTCTCGCACATGAAGGCAGAGGTGGAGGTGTCAGTGAGCCAGGATCGAGCCACTGCACTCCAGCCTGGGCGACAGAGAGAGACTCCGTCTCAAAAAAAGGAGAGGGTCTCCCGTGCTTCCTATGCTGGCTCATGAGCTCCTTCTGCCCTGGGTCCTGGCCGCCCCTCCACCTCGTTTTTCTTCTTCTTCTTCCTCTTTACGTTCCAGGTTCCCTGATTTCGAGTTGCAAATCTGAAGCCTCAAATCCTTCAGGTCTTGGCTGGAGAGATCACCTCTCTGGGGAGGCCTTCCTGGGTGCTCCGTTCCTTTCTGCACACATCCTCTATTTTACTTCTGTGTCCCGGAGCACTGGCTCGGTGACATCTCGGGCCTGGGACCACCTGCATCGAGCTTTATTTGGGCAGGTGGGCGAAGCATCCCCTGCTGGCAGGACAGCACCCTGAGAACGGGGTCTCCTGCCCGTTCACCATGGGTCCATACAGGTTCCAGCTCTGTGCCTGGCCCGGAGCAGGGAATCAATGCTGGAGGAGGCTCAGAAGTGTGAAGCAGCTTCGTCCTCAGTCCCTGAGACTCATCCTTACTGGCTAGAAATAACCTCCAGGGACGCAGGTAGATGCTGATGCAGGAGCCACACACACGACACGCGGGATCAACTCGCGGGTGGCAGCCTGTGCCCCGAGCGCCAGGCATCCCCAGCCACGCAGGGAAGGGACCCTCTCCCAAGACTACGGGCATCTGTCTCTCTGTGTCTCAGGATGGAAAAGAGAGAAAAGGGAGAGAGGGGAAGAGACAGAAAGAGAGAGAGAGAGAGAGAGAGAGAGAGAGAGAGAGAGAGAGAGAGATGGCACCAATCCTGCACCTCGAATGGCCATTTCCAGAGCCACGCTGGCTTTGCAGAGGGCGAGAGGCTTCCTGCAAGACCAAGGTGGCATCACAGCCCTGGCCCAGGAGGAGGGTCTGAGGCTGCCCACGCTCCGCCCAAGTCCTGTTGCTCAAACTTCAGCTATTTGGGTTTTCTGTGCCACACTTAGCACATGAGCCTCTCATTTGGCACTAAACCCAAAGAGGGACGGAGGGTCCCAGGCCAGCCGGGAAAGACGGAGAAGGTGATCCCTGGACCCCATCGCTGGAGACAACATGGCTGAAGGTGGACGTCCACCAGGGTTCCCCGGCCCAAAAGGGAAGCTGTGCGTGTCTGGCAAAGCCATCTTCCAGATCGGGGTCTGGGATAAATTCTGCCCTCTGCTGCCTGGAAGGAGACTCTGGGCTGGCCTGGCCCCACTGGGCTGTGTGCCTCACCATGGGTCACTGGGTGTAATGACCAATGTCTGTTTTTACCAAAAAAACAAGAAGAACAAACAGGCTGGCAGGTGCCCCTGAGGTAGGGCAGAATTTCTCTACAATCTGAAGTGGCTACTTTCCCCCAAAGTGTTCGTGGTGCTGTTCTCAGCTCAGAGAGCACAGCTTCCAGAGGGTATGGATGCTGCTTTGAAAAATAGGCTCCTCTGAATAACAAGAGTTTGATATTCTATTAATGTATATTTTTGAAGAACAAAGCAGGAAGGCGCAGGTGCACTTCGTATTTTTTGATTAGTTGTGTCTTCCATGTGTTTTTGCAAATAACGATAATGCATGATTTATTTCTCCCTGGCTTCAGATTCCAGAGCTTTTATGACTTTGCAGGCTCCGTTCAGAATGAAGCAGCCTTGGCAAAGGGAAAGAGGCCATCATTCATGTGGTCTGCTGACGTTTACCTGCTGTGTGGAAGATGACAGGGAGTTAGACCGAGAGCCAGTGCAGGCCTGCTTTCCAGGGCCCTTCTTTGGAGGATAAGGGCGGGCTTCATTCTGTCTCTGTGCAGAGCAATCTGGCCCCGCCACGAAGGTGTTCTGAGGCAAGAAAGTGTTGGAATCTCTCATGAAGGCCAAATCTAGGGTGTACATCTGCCCGGGAGCCACTGGCATCCCAGACAACCGCTTGCAGGAAAGCCAACGTGGCTGCCTCGTGGGCCTCAAATGTGCACACGGATTGGAGGGCGGAGATAGCAGTGTGGTAAGAAACGGGCTCGTCTTCATTAAAGACGCGTTTGGAGAGACTTCCCAGTGACGCGCAAGAAACAGCTCCGCTGGCCCTTAAACCTTAATTAAATGTTTTAGTATTAATTGCTATTTATTTAGGGACAATAAGCTCCCCAGCAACTCCGACGTATCTCTTGGCTATTCTGCACCCGGTGCTCACGTCCAGGGATTAACTGCAAGATTCAGGGGATACTTAGAATCCCAGCGCCTTCATGCTAGCAAGTGATAAACGGTCTTCCTGCAAGCTGCGACGGACTCTTTCGGCGTTTATCAAGGATTAATGAGGCTGTGTGCATGGCCCTCCTGGTCCGCAGCCACTGAGAAGGAGGCCACCAGGAGTGAGCCGAGGCTTCCTGTCGGCAGATTCAGAGGCTGAGCGCGACTGGCTTGTAGAAAGTCCCACGGGCTCTTCGGAACTCTACGGACGACACACCTGAGAGCCACGGGGAGGGGGTGAGCTCTTTAGATGCAGAGATGTTCCTTGCATAAATGCAGGTGGTCCTGCAACAGCTCCTCGGGCAGAGTTGGCAAGTGGGGTCCACCTGGGGACCATCTGGGGGAACCCATATCTCTTGCCTTTGCTGGGGCTGCAGCTCAGGGCTGGCCCCCCAACAGTGTTTCTGGGGGGCCTTCAGTGCCCCACACTGCTGGAAGGGGAGGACCAGGCTGATGAGACACAAAGGTTTTATGGGGCAGATGAGTAAATAAAAACACTTTTTTTTTTTTTTTTGCCCTATTTCATCTTGTTTTTGCAAAGTCAGTGCTGCAGCTTCTGGTTCTAATGGAAAGGAAGGATCCCTGGGCTCAGGCCTTTGGAGTGGGCAGAGGAAGTCTGGGAGCCAGGCAGCCCTCACGCGATACAGCCCTGCCACTTACAACCTGGCTGACCTCGTCCAAGTCATTTAACCGCCCACTGCCTCAGTTTCCCCACTTGGAAAAGGGACTGCTGGGAGGACCGAACAAGCAAAACGTGCTTCATGAGCTGCTGTGCAAACATTAGGAAGCTGTCCCCTTTCCCCTAGGGAGCTGACCTCGGCCAAGTCATTTAACCGCCCACTGCCTCAGTTTCCCCACTTGGAAAAGGGATTGCTAGGAGGACTGAGCAAGTAAAAAGTGCTCCATGAGCTGCCGTGCGAACATCCATATAAGGGAGCTGTCCCCTGGAGTTGACTTCTCCAGCTCTGTGGGCCTGTGGCTCTTGGCAGGAAGGAGTGAGGGTCCTTGACCTTAAGGCCCAGCATCTCCCAGGTCAATGAATTATGCATCAATGAATTTAAAAAAACATAACAGAGATGCTGGCCACCACCAGAACCCAGTCCCCATAGCGGCTGTACGGGGGCTAGAGGAATACGCTGTTAGCAAGCCAGCTCCCTGTGGCTAGCTTGGTTGGCACTCCAAAAGGGGCTCCCTTCATCAGGGGACCTGCGGTGAGGCGGACACAGGCACTGGCTTCTGACGGAGGCTCCAGGGCGCACATCCCCCCATTGAATGGTGGGGACAAGCTGCCTCTTACCTGCCACAGCAAAGGCCCTTGCAGGGCGGCTCGGTTCCCGTTCTAATCTAATTACATTTCTTTGCCAGTTGGCAGAACATGTTGACTGCGGGATAGGGAGTGAGGGCTGGAGATTTGATTTGGAGCAAACATTCGGTTCATTAATGCCAGGATGAGGAACTGACCGATTCACTCCCCTCGATGACTGCAGCCGGCTTCCCGCCCCAAGCTGGGTGGAGCCCGCTGAGTCCTCAAGACCTTCCCTGTCCCTGGGCCCTGAGGACACGGTCCGTTCAGTCCCCCATATCAGAAGGTGGACAAAACGTGAGAAAGAAATATTTTCAAATATTGGTAGTGCATCCTAGAAATAGGGCTCCCTACTCACGGAAGGAATCTGAGGTCACCTTTGGAAGGAGGCACGGTGAGCCTGCTTAGAAAGCCCAGCATCGAAAAGAAACACAAAAACAACAGGAAACCCTCCTGCCGCACTCATGGGCTGTGCTTACACAACGCACGGATGTGCAGTCAGGAGGGCGAAATGCTCCTTCCCCTCAGCAGCCCGAGTGCTCGGAGACTCTGCACAGGAGGAGGCAATTTAACGTCAGCGTTAAAGTTAATATCACTGAAAGCAAACCAAATGTTCCCATCCAGCAGAGCGTGGAAAACTCATCCTGTCTGGGTGCCGGTTCCTAGCTTCAAATTAGTAGATGTCTCAACTCTTCCCTTTCTTTCTTTATCATTTTCTTTCTTATCTCTTATTTTTATATTTCAAAATTGTATTTTAATTCCGCCTCGCACCCTCCCCCGACGTGAAGACACGTGACGGAGGAGGCGAGACTCCTGCCTCCCTGGCCGCTGCCCTGATCTCTTCGTGTTGCGGGAAATGAGAGCTGTAATTGTCACTTGTTTCAGGGAATGACTTTCCCTGCCACGTAGGCCACGCGTGTGGTGGCCTTCCTGCAGGAAGGAGTGACACCAATAAGAATAGTCAGGACGTGTCATCAGGGTGCGTGAGTGTCTGTCCCTCTCCTCCCCGGGATGAGGGGGGCACTTCTAACAAACCCAAAGTCAAGATCAAAAGCCCAGCTCCCTGGCTCGTGTTCAGAGGAGTGGTGCCATTGGAAATCCACCCACTACATCTAGGAGGACTTCCGATTATCCCAAAATGCAGGGGAGGTGGGCAGGGGAGGAAAGGGAAATAAAATAGGAACGTCCAAAGAGAAGTACCTACCATGAAACAGTCACATGGCGTCCGCCCTGCCCCCAGGAGGTAAAAAAGACTTCGGCCAGTCAGCAGGAGATTTCAAACCATTTCTCAGACACGAAGGCCACAGGAATAAGATGCCGATCAGAAGAGGAGGGTCTGCGGTGGACGGAAAAATTGGCTTTTGTGTGCTGGCACAGAACACAGGACGGGCAAGCCGGGGCAGGCCTGCAGTGCAGACCGGCTTCCTGAGAGAGGAGGCGCTCAATGTGGACCCCGGTCTTTCCAGGAAGGGACGTCCCCTATTCCCTGTGGCTGGGGAGGAGTCCTCACACACTAATGCTTTCTACCCTGAGAGGCTTTGGGGGACACAGACTGAGGGGTCTGGGCACACGAGCACTTTGCTGTGCAGGCCAGAATGCTGCTCCGTCTCCAGACTGTCATTTTTGAATTTGCAGGATTAGCCCAGAGCCTGGGGTCTCTGCCTCTGATGACAGATTTGACCCACTTTATTGTACATGACAGAAAGGACAGAACCTGGCTCCCAAAATGTCTCTCCCTCATATTTTGTCACCTTTGAGACCAAGCTACCATTTTCCAAGGCCAGTGAAAGCTAACAGAGCATACCTTGGGCCAAAGGGCAAGAACTCACTCCATCTGATGCTTCCGTGCCAGGGCCTGAGAGCAGCAGCTGTGCCAACCCTGCGCTTGGACAGCCCCCGCCCCACCTCCCCGTACAACACAAGCACAGAAGGTGGGAAAAGAGAAGCAACAAGGGCCAACCCACAGGCCTCTGCCCTCTACCCACCACACACGGCCCAAGCACCGGCTGGCCCAGATTCATATCCAGGCCAACATCCACATACTCAGTGAAATGGTTTGGAAGTCTGTTAGCCAGTTATTTGTGAACTCAGCCTTCTGGAAGTCTGGAATGGCACCCATGAGCTGCCCAAATGTCTGAGCGTGAAACCATTGAGGTTTAGAACAACAGCTCTGAGGTTCTGAGCGCCACCGTCCTCCCTTGCAAGGGAAGAGAACGTCTAAGACAGAGAATTCGACAGATTGTAGAATGCAACGTGGACATCCAAGAAGAGGCGCTGCCGGGTGTTTCAGGAACATCTGCTCATTCCAGCAAGCAGGACAAAGGCACGTTAACTATGGACACTATGGCCCCGGCAGCCCTCGCTCACCAGGGCCCCTGAAAAAATCAGCAAACACAACGAAAGGGAGCCTGCAGCCAGCCCCTTCTAAAATGACTCACGTCCAATCGCCTGGCCCTGGGTTCCAGGAGGGCCCTTCCAGGAGGCCTGGGGCGGTGTCCCCTGGCTGCTAATTCCACTGCGGCCCCTTCGAGGCAGCCTCACAGCCTCCTCCTTTCTGCTTCAAGTTTGTGGAGACTGTTTATTTAATTTAAAAATGATGCATATATTTGTATGCTGACTTAAAAAAAAGCTTATTGATGTTTTAATTTAATTCTGGACAACCCTTCGGAAGCTGACTCAAGGGTTTCTTAAATATTCCCAGGGATGGTTGTGGGGTATATTTTCTTGGAGGCATTACACACGAATAATCAAACAAGAGGAGCGTTTAGTAACGAACGTCTGGTCTGAGAGTCTGGTGGGTATCTGGTATTTTTGTGAAATCTGCCACTGACATTTTATTGATGGGGCTGGAGATGCTGACTCTGGTGGGAGCAGTTGTGATCTGTTGATATTTAGGAGGTGGATAACCACAGGGCTGGCCTTTGTGCTCTGGGGGGTGAAGGATGGCGGCTCAGAGCGAGGGCCCGGAGAATATGCATTTCCTGACACTGCCAAGTCGAGGGGTCTGGAAGGAAATTCCAGCCACTGTGTGATCTGGGAGTGGATAAAAGTCTTTGCTATCAACCCCGCCTCCCTCGTTTTGCCAAATCAGCTGTCCGCCTTGGCTGGACCCCCAAAGCAGTCTCGGGGAAGACCTAAACCGACCAGCAGCTCCCCGCTGGGCCATGCCAACCCCTGAGGTTGGGACCGCCAAGAGCTTTGTGGCCGCAGGGTCTAGCAGAGCCGAGCTTACCGGTTTCCATTAAATGTGGATTTGTACTCCCCCGCCGTCGAGTGCAGCGTCTCGTCAGTGTAGACGGGCACAGACGCCCGGACGCACTCGTGTGAACACTGCAGGGTCTCGTTATAGGCTGTGAATATGTCCAGGCTGCTGGGCACCCGGGCCGAGGTGAAGTCTGTCAGGTTCTGGCAGCTCTCTTCCTGCTGGTCGGTCTTCCGCTGGTGGCTGTTCCTACGAGTGTTCCCGCTTTGGGCACAGCTGGAAGAGAAAGAGGTTGGGGTGGGGAGACGGGCAGAGGTCGAAAACCCAGCAACACAGCTCCAGAGCTTCCACGGTGGGCCTTTCGCTTGCAGGCCTGAGCTCCGCATCATTTCATATTAAAAGGTAATTCCTAGCCTCTTCAGAAAGATCAACCACAATCAAGCAATCAACTCTTTTTTTAAAAAAAAAACGAAATGTGAACTTTAAACGTGGCTATTGCAGTGGGAGGATGAGGGGGTAAGTGGTGAGCTGTGTGATCGCAGAGCTAGGGACTGCTTGACTAAGGAGCATCAGCCAGACCATGGTGCTGACTCAGTTTCCCCACAAACTCCTCCACGGCTAAGAACCGTGATGGGTCCTTCCTGCGAGAGGGACCTAGAGTGTGTGGAAGCCTTTGGGTACAGGTTGGGGTGGTCCGTTCCTTCATCTCAGAATGGACTATGGACCTGTCTGGGGAAAGCTGATGAATGAGAAAGCCCCTGTCCTCAGCTCCCCTCCCCCCACAAGGGCAGGTGCACAAGCTGGAAATGACAAGCTGGCTTGTCCTTGGACCCCGATCAAGTCTGCAGAGGGAAGTCTCCTGCGTGCCTTGCCCACTATGGTCTAGAACTTCTGAACCACAGGGGCTTCCAGAGGCCGCTTAGGATGACCATGGGACTCCCACCACAGCCAGTCCAGAGATTTGACAAAGCAAGAATCAGGGGCCCTCAGGTGCCGCTTCTATGATGAGAGCACAGGAAGGACAAGAGGGGCGGCTGGGACGCCCCTCCCCTGCTGCATGGGGAGCCGAGGACGTCTCCCCTCATTGGGGCCATTTCCCCTGCCCGCCCCCTCCCCTTCACACTCAGGGCCTGTGTGGAGGGAGGGGCTGTGGAAGGACAAGGGGACAGGGGATGCACCTTCTCCTTCTAAGTCTCGGTTAGTCCCTGCTGTGGTTTTCCCAATGCGAGGAATCTCAATTCCTGGAGCAGAAACTCCTTCCGTCATAAACCAAGGTCAGAAGGTGAATGCCAAACCCCTGGGGCAGCCCCACCCCCAAAGTCTTCCTCAGAGGGAGGTCAGGTTCACAGGCCTTGCTCACCCACCCTCCCGGGCTGCTCTCCCAAAGTGCTCTTTGAAGGTCTGCTGTAAGCTTTGAGTGTGGGAAAAGCAAGATGAAGGCTTCACATCAACCTGTCACAGAACAGGCTACAAAGTCCCCTGTCTCTGGAGAGACGTTGTCGAGATGTCCAGTGGGATTTGTCCTTCTACCATCCACACGGTCTGGGGGTCCAAGGCCCCTTCTCTGGCCAGCCCCTGCCTAAGAAGCCCCACTGTGAGGTACGTGGTGTTCTCATCACCTCCAGAAAATGCCCAGGGTCCCAGTTTGCTGCCTGTCAGGAGGTGGCTCTGAGGCCTCGCCAGCTGAGTGGGAGGTCTGTCGAGGGGCTGTGCTACCCCCCACCCTCCCGTGGCCTGCCAAGGGGTCCCACCTCCTCTGATCCGCAACCTGGCCTTTCCTCTCTGGCTCTCCCGCATTCCCCTGTGAATCTGAGGCTCCGATTCGGGTTCCACCATCGGCCCTGTCTGATTCGTGTGATTGTGTGCAGGCAGCAAGGGGACAATCTGGGTCTGTTACTCTATGAGAGAGTTTTAAGCCTGGATGCCAGGAGGAGACGCAGTTGCTGGAGGAGTGGCTGCAGGCAGGTGGGGTCCCCAAGGCGCTTCTGAGCAGCAGGGTCTCCCAGCAGTCCCCCGACTTCTCAGGGACTTATCAGGTGTGTACACCCAGCAAGGCTGGCCTCAAAGTAGGCCAATTTCCAGGAGGAAGTAGGCAAAGGCAGGCCGCCTGGAGGAAGGCGGTAACCTAGTTCAGCACACAGACTGGCTTTGAGAGGAACCGAGAATACAAACAGGGCTGGTTCAGCAACCGGCTACCGAGCCCGAGTGAGGGTCGTGGGATCCCGCTGGCAGGAGGGCCCTGCCCCCACCTTTCCAGGGAAGGTACAGGAGGCAAGACACAGGGACTCTGCTCTGGGAAGACAGCATCCCCAGGGACACCTGGATCCCGAGAAAGAATCTGGAACCCGGGACCACACATACCCCAAGAAACTCTGTCCCCAAGGCTGGGCTCGCTGGTCTCCTGCAGGGAAATCGGGAGAGAAGCGGGCAGCCTGTGGCAGCCGAACTGCCCGGGGCAGAAGCCAGCAGAGCAGGCTGGCTTTGAAAGTGGGGTCCTTTCTGTGTTCACCACCCAGGGTCCCCTAAAGTCCCCCATTTCTGGGCCAGAAGGGCCCGAGGAGCCTTACCAATTTTTTAAGACAAGAGTTGTGATGAGAGCAGCTATGACCATGATGAGGGAGACGGTGATGGTGATGATCTGATGGACAGCCAGACCTGGAAAGAAGGAAAGAGGCAACAGGGCACCCGTGAAACCAGGTTCAGGAGGCAAGGGGTGCCGGGAGAGGTGGAGGTGTGTCCCCCCAACCCCGCTGCGGATGCCAGGGTCCATCCACGACGGGGAACTCAGGGCAGCACGACAGATGCTTAGTTCGCGCCCCCCCGACTGCAGCCCGTGGGCACGAGGCTGTTCTCACCCGGGTTCTGGGAACAGGGAGCACCAGCTCTGGGCTCTCTGCTTCCACCACCCTCTTAGCCTCCAAACCGTGACCCGGATCATAGACGGCTGTGTTCTTTCTTGCACTGACCAGGCCCTTCACCTGCCTCCTCTACCCGGCAGCAGGTCGGCTCTGGCTGAGATATTCCCCATGGCCCCTTTCTCCCTTCTCACCCTGCACCAGTTCTGCTCTTCTATTCTGGAACCGCGAGCCCCAGCGCTGCTGGCCTGTGAGTGGGAACAGGGTTTGGCCTGACCCAGGAGGAGCCAGGGTGGGCCAGGACGTACTGGGGCTGTAGGAAGAGGAGCACATGGGGTGACGCCCTTCCAGATCCAGGACACTCAGATCAGGGGAGGCATCTGCCTCCTTCCAGAATCCTCGCTAAGAAGTTCAGTGCCTCACGAGGTTCCAGGAATGAAGTTTCCGGCCAGCGGTGGAAGCCTCCCACAGCCTCAGAGAAGGCATGGTCTACCTTGTTGCCCTGGCTCCAATTCCCGAATGGGGAGGTGGAGACACTGGAATCAGCAGGACAGGGACAGAAGGACCAGCCACTTCAGAAGTGGGGCAGGTAGAGCTCCCGCCAACAGCTGCCTGCTGACACCCACACATACGACGGCAGAAGGCAGGGACTCTCTTCCGTCCCCTCCCTCTGTCCCAAAACCTTCTGCGGCATTTGCCTCTAACCATAGACACGGGACTGGGGAGATAGGAGGGCAGGTCTGCAACAGCTCCTGCCTCTGGTCCCCACCCCAGACCACCTTCTTTCCTGACTACACGTCTGTCGCATCCCACAGATGCTGGGGACATCCCCTGGCTGACATTACCAACCAACCAGGTCTACCCAGAAGGTCCCCGTCAGCACCTAAGAAGCTGGAAGATCAAGGCAGTCAGGGAGTCCACCAAGCTCATAGGGGGCAGCACCCGCTTCTACTTGTCTCCCCAGGTCCTTCTGCCTGATATGCAACCAACTGTCCTGTCTGGCCTGGGGCTCCGTCTTGGTGTCCGCTTTGCAGAGGCCCGCCCCTCGTACGTGAGCAAGCTCTTGGGCTGCTGGCGTGAGAACACTGCGTGTGTGTGTTTCAGCACGGCAGGTTTCAGTGTCACATTTTTTCTGGCGGCCTCCCAAGGACAGTCTTACACAGATGTTAGCTCTCTGCTGGATATGATCCCCATGGGGGAAATTGTTCATAAATGATTAAACATTGGCAAGGCCAGAAAACAAACTTTGTCATCCTGTTTCCCCCTCTCTGGGGGTGACTGCTGTTTGTCACAAGGGATTCCCTCCAGGACCCACAGAATAGCAGCACCAGGCAAACAGTGGCACAAACACATGAGTGTGGTGGGTCTCCCCCATCCATTGATTCAGGAACTGTTGGTTGTGCACCTACTGTGTGTCTGCAGTGCTAACACTGCTCACCTGCAGGGAACAGCTGCTCTGGTGCCCTCTGCACAAATGTGCTGCATTCACTGCAGTTCTGGCCAATGACCTCTCATAAACCTGTGCCCAATCTGTGCCACTTGCTGTAAGCCTCTGGGCAAGTCCCTTCTCTGGGACTGCCAGGCTGGTCTGCTAATGAGTTGAAAGCTAAGTTATGCCACAGGGACCATGCCTAATGCCACCCACAATGGCGTGCCTACCAGTGCTCGTAATCTCCATCTACATGCCAAGTTTCCTGAGACCAAACTCAGACCTCGTGTGCAGGAAGGACTGAAAAGGATGGCCAGCTGTGGAGGGTGGGTTGCCTGTTGAGTCTTCTCTTGCCCTCTACCCACACACTCCCCCTGGCCCAGTCAAAAGAAAGCCGTGCTGTCACGAAGTGTATGTGCTTATCCTGTCTGTGCTTCTTGTGAGGAGAAGGGGGCTGCTGATGGTGATGGTGATGGTGATAATAACGGTGATGGTGGTGAGGACAGTAGTGATAATGATGGTGATGGTGGTGATGATGGTGATGATGATGGTGATAGTGATGATAGTGATAGTGATGGTGACGGTGATGATGGTGATGATAATGATGGTAATGGTGATGGTGGTGATGGTGATGATAGTGATAGTGAGAGTGATGGTGATGATGCTGATGATAATGATGGCAATGGTGATGATGGTGGTGATAGTGATGATGATGGGGATGATGGTAATGATAATGGTGATGGTGATGATGGTGAT